TCCTTTAATTTTTAAATGAAGAAAAACTTGACATTTGGAAAGGGACACATTTTTTCAGACTTCAGCTTAATGATATTTTTTGCATAATGCCTGTACCTTTGTAACCATCTTATTAAATATTTATAGCACCCCAGAAGGCTCAAGCCCCTTCTTTTTTTTTCCTCTTCTTTTATTACTGGGTATTGCACCCAGGAACACTTTACTACTGAGCTACATTCCCAGCTTCATGTATTTATTTATTTATTTGTTTGTTTGTTTTTATTTATTTATTTTTTTATACATTGATTGAACTCAGGGGCACTCGGCCATTGAGCCACATCTATTTTGTATTTTATTTAGAGACGGTCTCACCATTGCTGAGGCTTGGCTTTAAACTCTTGATCATCCTGCCTCAACCTCCTGAGCTGTTGGAATTACAGGCGTGCGCCACCATGCCCAGCCTATTTATTTTTTGAGAAAGAGTTTCACTAAGTTGCTTAGGGCCTTGCTCAGTTGTCAAGCCCCTTAATCAGTATTCCCACTCCAGAGGTAACACTTGAATCTCGGACAATAATTCTGCCTCTTTTTAGTGAGATATATATATGTCTATGCATGCATTACATGCAGATATTTAGATCTACTTGTTCTTAAATGTTTTGTATAGCTTGTACTCTTGTATCTTATGGCTTTTACTCAAAGGTTATTTTCAATCAAGTGTTTTGGTTTTTATTGCTATAAATTATTCTGTTTTATGAATATACAAAAAATTTTCCATTTTACCATTGGGTCTGAATATAGCTGCAGTGGACATTTTTAAATATTATTGGACATATGCATACATTTCTTTTGGAGGGAGATTGCTGTGTTATATCACAGACATTTATTTTGTCTTCAATCAATACTGTTAAAACAGTTTCCCAAGTTTGGAAACAGTTTATATTCCAGTTTTCTACATCTTCACCAATATTTGGTATAGTCAGTCTTTTTAGTTATAGATATTATGAATATGTACTATGATACATATAATTTATTTATTTATTATTTATTTAATTCTGATTATTCCCGGTGACTAATGGTATTTAGCACTACTCCTTGTGCATATTGTTTTGACTGTCATCTGTAGTGTCTGTTGAATTCTTTCCTACTTTTAAATTTTTTTCATTATCAATGGATCTGTGTTTTATTTATTTCTATGTGGTGCTGAGAATTGAACCCAGAGTCTCACACATGCTAGGCAAGCACTCTTGACACTGAGCTACAACTCCAGCCCTGTTGATTTCTTTCTATGCTTTAATTAGTTTTGACAGTTTTTTCCTTATTGATTTGAAGGAAGTGTTATGTATTCAAAAAGAAACTCTAATCAATTATATCTATTGCAAATATGTTCACCCAGTTTGTGTTTCTGTTTCCTTTTTGGTGAATAAAATTTCTTATTTTAATCAAGTCAATTTATCAATCTTCTCTTTCCTGATTCCTGCTTTTAGTAGCTCATTGGAATCTTTCTCTGTCCCAAGGTCATGAGAAGACTTTAGAAGTTTTATTCAGACATTTAGATTTGATTCATTTTTATTTTATTTGTTACAAATAACATGAGATTTTTTTTTCATACAGATATCTGGAATGATCCAGCATCCTTTATTAAAAAGATCACCTTTGGGCTCTGAATTGCATTGGTGCTTTTATTATATCTTAAGTGACAATATATTATGTTTCTAGACCTATTTTTCATTGATCTATTTCTTCTTCCACCAATATCACACTCCCTTTATTATAACTATATAATAAATGTTGATTTCTAGCAATATAAATCTTTCAAATTTTTTTAAAGATTATGTTTAGTTGGGCTGGGGATGTGGCTCAGTCGTAGAGTACTTGCTTTGCACATGCAAGGCCCTGGTTTCAGTCCCCAGCAAAACACACACACACGCGATTATGTTAGGAATAATTTGAATTTCCTTAATGATTTTAGAATTTAGAAATGTACAGATCAATTTAGGAAAAATAGAATTGAGTCTTTCATCTAATCTACGAGTACTTCTATCTGAATTATATAGGTCCTTATTTCTCAGCAGTGTTTTATAGTATAGTAGGGATTTTATAAATCCTTTGTTAGGTTTAGATGAGGGTATTTGATGTTTTGGATGTTATTTTTATGATACTTTTTTTAAAACCAGGGATTGAGCCTAGTGGTGCTTAACCACTGAGTAACATCCCCAGCCCTTTTATTTTAAGACAGGGTCTCACTAAATTACTTAGGGCCTTGTTAAGTTGAGGAGGCTAGCTTTGAACTTTCGATCCTCCTACTTCAGCTTCTTGAGTCACTGGGATTACAGGCATGCACCACCACATACAGTTTAAAATACTTTTACATATTTTTAATATATATATGACTTTGTACATTGATTATGTGATTAACACTCCTGTTAAAAATTCTAATAAAATGATGGGAATTTTCCTGCTTTCTTTCCCATCTTTAACTATTTATTCATCTCCCTTTTTTTGATGCTCTGATAAGACCTCTAGTTTAATGTTGAATAGAAATGATGATAATGCATATAATTGTCATATTCTCAAATTGTAGGGGAAAACATAATTTCACCATTGCATATGGTGTTACCAGTAAGTCTTTTGTAGATACCCTTTATCATATTAAGAAAGTTCACTTTTATTCCTGATTTATGAAGAGTTTTTATCTTGTGAATGTTACATGCTGTCAATTCTGTATTTACTGAGATGATTTTTCTCCTTTATTCTGTTAGTGTGATAAATTAGTTGATGCTCTTATGTTGAACCAACTTTCCATTTTTTAAATAAACCCATACAGTCTTTATATTTTATATATCATTAGGGTTATCCTGATCACATTTGTTGAGGATCATGCATCCATGTTCATAAGGGTGAACACAGTGTTCTGAAATTTTTCTTATATTTTCAGGTTTGGTATCATGGTTATGCTGGTGTCAAAATGAATTGAAAAGCATATATACTTTGTTCCTTTATCCCCTGAAACTGTTTGCAAAATTGGCTTTATTTCATCTCTAAATGGTTGGTTGGATTTATCAGTGAAATCATCTGTCTTGACCTGGAATTTTCTTTCTTCCTTTTTTTTGTTTTTTTAAGAGAGAGAGAGAATTTTAATATTTATTTATTTATTTATTTATTTTTAGTTTTCAGGGGACAGAACATCTTTGTATGAGGTGCTGAGGATCGAACCCGGGCCGCACACATGCCAGGCGAGCGTGCTACCGCTTGAGCCACATCTCCAGCCCTGGAATTTTCTTTTTGGAAAAACTTTTAGTTCTGAATCCAACTAATTTTATAAATATAAGACTGTTCAGATTTTATATCACTTGTTATCTGGGCAGAAAAGAGAACTAGATCACATTTGGTTTTGTCTGTTTTTATGGGGATTGTCAAGAGGTTGGGAGAGAGGGTGTTTTTGGCAAAGACAACCATGTAAATAAGCAGCTGTCAAAACTGGAAAACAGTTGACTTACTAGATATATAATATTTTTAGGAAGAATAGTAAAAGAAATAATGAGAAGGAAGGTTGTAAAAGTTCTCTGAACCATAAGAGATATAGAGGCATGATCAATGGTGTAACCAAAATAAGGTAATCAAAATATGAAGAATAGCCAAAATATTGTATAAAATAGGAATGAAAAAAATTCCATTGGGCTGGGATTATAGCTCAGTCGTAAAGTACTTTCCTGGCATGTATGAGGCACACTGGTTTAGTCCTCAGCACCACATATAAATAAATAAAATAAAAGGTCCATTGACAACTATATATATATATATAAAATACATGTATTTTTTAAAAACTCATTGGATATAACAGAGAACATTATTTCTCTGCTGACATTAAAATGCTCATACTTTTGCGTATCTTTATTTTTAACTTAGCATCCTCTTCTGCTGGTGGGCTTTGTTAAACCTATTTGACCTCCAATCTTTCCCACTTTAACTTCAAGTTCTTCTGCTTTTTTTTATTCTCCCCGAATCTTGGTGTTCTTGATAGCTAAAGATAATGAATCTAATTCCCTTGTTTCAAAGTTCTGTGGAGGACTTTTTACATAAGATTTTGGATATAAAAAGTAATGTTGTTTCGCATAATTTTTCTTTGGGCTATCATCCGTTTGATAGGAACATTAATTTTTAGTGCCTGCTCTCTGTGCGTTAGGTGTGAGATTAATTGCTCCAGAAAGGATTCATTGACTGATGGGGCAGTCTAGATATAGCAGGGAAAGGGTGGTTTGGCCATTTGATGAAATTTTCTGGGTTGGCCATTTGATGGAATTTTTTGTCCAGTTGTGTCATTTTTTTTGGTTCCATCCAAACATGATAATATGGCCAAGGAATTTAGAGTCCAAAGTCATAAACCTTGGCCATTAAAAGGCTGGTGATTGTAGAGGTTTGATGGATATCTCTTGTGTTAGGACTATATGCTGATCCATCAAATAAAATAGAAAATAGGGCCGGGGACGTGGCTCAGTGGTTGAGTGCTCCTGACTGAGTTCAGTCCTCGGTATCATAAAAATAAAAACAAGATTGAGTTGACAGGAGCTTGTGTAAGAGCATAGGCTTTTTTTTTTTTTAATCAATTTTTAAGCTTCTGGTTTCTTTACTCACAAATTTTGAGTATGTATACTTTTTTAAAATAGTTGTCTGCATAATGACTTCTCAAAAAAAGTTATTATACTTAAGATTTACTCATTGTAGTCTTTTTGATGACATTCTTTTAAATGACCTCTCAGATTCATTGTACAAATAAAATAAAACTTCTTTTTAGTTGTATTTTCAAAAGAATGTAATGGAGTAAATCTGTTTTATTGATCTGAATATCTAAGCTGGTTTTTACCTGGAAACCATGCTTGTCTGGTTTTTTTAGCTAATATGTCTTCTGTCCCAAATTCTGGTATATAACTTAGTGAATATGAATTATACTTTTAAATTCATATGTGAGGTGTTAGGTGGCTTCTTTCATTTTTGATGTAATTTTCACTGTCTTTGTTTTGAAGCTTCTGCTCAGCCTGTTGATAATCATGTTAGCCCATCTTCCTACTTGGGCCAGACACCAGCATCACCAGCCAGATACTCACCAGTTTCTAAAGCAATGCTTGGAGATGATGAAATTACTAGGTAAGTAACTTTACATTTACCTTATAAAAATCATTTTTAAATGGAATTTTAATCAGCCACAATTTTTAGGACTAAAAATATTCTTGAATATTGATGAACTTAAACATTAATATTTTTTTTTCTATTGGAGGGTTTATTGAAGATTTTTTTTCATTGCAGATCATGAAATATAAAAATATTTTGTATTATAAGTAAGTTACTGCTCCTATTTTAAGGTTTGGCAAATTGTCTTTTGAAATAAATCTAAGTTGGGAATATACTTGTGCTTATTTTATACTAACTTTTCATATATTTCTTATCTAATGTATGCCTTAAAATATTAGGACAATTGATTTATGTTCAGAATTCAACAAGTGGTATTTGCTTTGTTTGATAGCCTGACTGAAATCTAAAGTTTTTTTCATCTAACATTACTAACTACATTGAACTTTGTAGGTCTTTTTAGTGCCAAAGAATTCCAAGGTGGAGGAAAAGAGTCAGTGAAAAAATATTTTAGCTCTGTTATTTTAAGTAGTATAAAGATACTATTACAGTTTGCTTTATAATTTACAGTTATAGCATTTTTCATTATGTATATGCCAGTTAATATCTGTTCTCACATTTTCATTAGTTACATTATTGTTAGCATTATTATTTTTGAAACTCTGTATTTGTAATAATTGTTATTTTTCTTGTCAGACTCCTAACTTCTTAGGCAGTATTCGCCTCAAGGACAGATAGGAGTGTTTGTCTTGTAAGAGTTATGTTGGGAACAAAATAGGTGCCTTAGTAATTGTGTTTGGAATGAAAACTAGCAGAAAGAATAGTGTTTTTACGTGTGATATGAATATTCAAGGCTTTTAGTCTTCAAGCAGTGTTCCTATAGAGTGATTCATGGCTATTTGTTATTTGCTAATAGTGCCTATTTATAGGTTTATCTAGTCTTCAGTCTCTTTAGATGTTTTGCAAAACTAAAATCTAAAAGTTATATTTTCACCTTTATTGCTGTCCCCACCCTTCTTTACTGCATATGTGTTATACCATGTTGTATTAGACTTTGAAGTATTTCACACACATCTAACAATTTCCATTCTTTTCTGCAAAAATTAGTTGATTGACTATTAGATATGTCTTAAAATAGTGTGCATTTTATCATTCCTTTTGCCCAGATAATGAAGTATGAAAATCTTGCCCAAACATAAATTCTCCACAATTTTTGCCTAAGCAGTCTTTCAGAAGATATCTCAAATTACCAAACCAACCCCCGCCCCCCATAAAATTAACAGCATACAGACAATTAATGTTTCTAAAGCTCATTTGTTAAGTTTTATTAAGATGTAATTTACATACCATAAATTTCATGCATTTAAAATGTGCAACTCAATGAATTAGGGTATGTTACATCACTTTTTAATTGTGATAAAATAAATATAGCATGTAGATTTAACATTTTAACCATTTTCAAGTGTACAGTTTAGTGGCGTTAATTACATTCACAGTTTTGTACAACCCGTCACCATTAGCTATTTCCAAAACCTTTTCATCATCTTGGATAGTCTATAACCTTTAAGCAGTTCCATCCCATTGTCCTTCCAGCTCTTGGTAATATCTATTTTCTGTCTTTCTGTATTTGTCTAATTTAGGTAATTCATGTAAGTGGGACCATACAATATCTGTCCTTTTGTGACTTTCTTATTTGACTTAATATAATTTTTCAAAATTTATTCATTTTGTAACATGTATCAGAACTTCATTTCTTTTTTTAAGTAATATTCCATTCCATTGTATGTATGTTACATATATGAAATATACATACAATTAGATGTATAGATATTAGATAAATATAGCTAGATAAACATAGAGTTACATTTTGGTTTTCTACCCATTGTTGGTGACTTGGATTGTTTCCACTTTTTAGCTATTGTGAATTATGTTATGATAACAAGTATTTGTTCAAATCCCTGCTTTTAGTTACTTAGGCTACCTGGGTGGAATTTTCTTTTTTTTAATGTTACCTTTTTAAGGAACCACCAACCTATTTTATGTTCCCATAAATAATTTGTGAGTATTTCAGTTTTTCCACATCTTACTGACACTTGTTACTTGGTCTAGTTTTGTTATTGTCATCCTGTTATTGAAATATCTCATTATGGTTTTAATTTACGTTTTCCTAATGACTTATGGTGTTAAGCATCTTTTCATGTGCTCATATTATTCAAAAATCAGAATGTGTATTCCTCTAGAACTACTGCTGGATTTCAGCAGGCTATTTTTTAATTATTATTTGCTAATGTAAAATTATAATTCATACTTGTTTTAAAATAGGAGCTCCAAACCATGAATCCATTATTTAACATAGGAAATAAAATATCAACAGTATGCTGAAACTTATCTGTGTACCTGATCCTACCCTGCTTCTCCTATACAGCCCCTCTAAGTTATTGTTTTCCTAAATTTTATTATCTTTTTCCTTCATATGTGTATATGTATTTTATTACATATAATATATGATATTTTATAAAATATATATATACACACATATATATAATATTTCCCCAAACAATTTTTTGTTTAGTTTTACCCTTTTTTTTTTTTTTTTTAACCAGGGATTGAACCCAGGGACACTTAACCACTGAACCACATCCCCAGTCCCCTTTTATATATTTTATTTAGGGACAGAGTCTCACTGAGTTTAGGGCCTCATTAAATTGCTTAGACTAGCTTTGAACTCGCAATCTTCTGCCACTCCCAGCTAGTTTTACTGTGTTTAACAAATAATTTTATGAATCCTTTAAGTGAGCTGGCAAAATCGAATAATGATGAACACTTAATATATGTCTAGAAAATACTATATTTTAAGTTTTGAGCAGTATTAAGTATTTAAGAAGATTTTATTACTATTCTGTATTATAAGGAAGAATCCTTAAATTTATTTTTTAAAGAGATTTATTTATTAAAGCTTTTGTGACTATTTACTTCTTGCAATGTTTTAGAAAATCATTAAATTTTTAAAATGTCTACCAAATATCACATATTTAAGAATAATCTCAAATGATATTCTGTTTCATCAAATATTAAAATAATTTGCTGTTGGCACTTTCATGGTCTTACCAGAAGATGTGAATAGTTTTCACATCATTGTATCTGAATGCCAACAATTTTGAAAAATTATCAATGGTAAGCTGTATTAACATGTGCAGGGAATAATGAGGGGGACAGATAAAATGCATCTTACTTAGAGCTGACAAAAAACAGTAATAAATTTTAAAAAATCACAAATCATGGCTTACACTAAAAGTTTTTTGCTTGTTTTTTTTATTGTTTGTTTTGTTTTGTTTTTGGAGACAAGGTCTCCCTATGTTACCTGACTGGTCTCAAACCTGTGGGTTTAAATGATTCTAACTCCTCAACCTTCCAAATAGCTGGGTCTGCAAGTATACACCAGCACACCAAATTTAAAAAATATTTCATGCAATTCCAAGATTGGTGTAGCAACCTTAGGCCCATAATGTTTCTGGTATATTCTTAGTTTTACCTTTATGTTTATAATATATCTAAACAAGTAGAAGGGTTTTATTAATAGTTCATTCCTTTTTGTGTGGAGTTTTTTAAGAAGGGGCAGAAGGTAGCAAAATGTGGTTCGTTCTTGTTAAGGTCTGACTTTCTTTAGGAAATTTTCCTTTTTTTCCTCAGGTCAGAAGGGAGTCACACCCTCCCTTTAGCAAAAAGAAGTAAGATTGCAATGACCAGATTAGGTTATTCATTATTCATTCCTTTGGAACTACGAAGGAGGCCTACCTCCATCAAGAAAAAGAAATAGCTGCTTTTTACAACACTGCCTCAGAGGCAGTCAAGTGCATGCAACATCAGGTTTTCATGAATACAAATTTCTTGATAGAATCTTTGTATTACTTTTTTGTTGATTTCAAATTCTTTTCTCCTTATTGTTTTGATTTCATATTTTTTCCTTTTGTTTTTGTTTTTTTGTGGGGTTTTCGTTTGTTTTATTTGTTCCAGGGCTTTAATCCAAGGGTGTTTTAAGCACTGAGCCACATTCCCAGCCCTTTTTCTTTCTTCCCTTCCCTTCCCTTTCGCCTTCCCGTTTCCCCCTTCCCCTTCTTTCTTACCAACCTACTCCTTCCTTCCTTCCTTCCTTCCTTCTGACAGAGTCTCACGAAGTTACTTAGAACCTCACCAAGTTACTGAGACTGCAAACCTGTGATCCTTCTGCCTCAGCCTCCCAAACTGTTGAGATTATAGGCATGTACCACCACACCCAGCATGTTTGCTTGCTTTTTAATAGAAATTTTGAGCTTTTGATGAAATTAGATTTTTTTTCTTTTGATTTCTAAGGCTTAGAAGAATCTCTTTACCTCACAGTTTTGAAAAACCCTTTGTTTTTCAACTAGCTTTTTTAATACTTTGATAACATAATACCAAAGTTATCAGTAGGAAGTTCTCACTGATAGAATAACAGATTCTAAATTAAATTTCCAAGTTATTTAATTTAATTTAATTTAATTTTTTAATTTTTAGGGAACCTAGAAAAGTTGTTCTTCATCGTGGCTCAACAGGCCTTGGTTTCAACATTGTAGGAGGTGAAGATGGAGAAGGAATATTTATTTCTTTCATATTGGCTGGAGGACCTGCTGATCTAAGTGGAGAGCTCAGAAAAGGAGATCGTATTATATCGGTAGGATATGTTAATCAAGTAATCAAGATGATGTTGTTTTTATTATCATAACTATAACCTTTTAATGATTAAAAGTGGATTTTTTTATAACCCAAAGTTATGGGTGTAATTGGTTATCTTCTTACCATTTTAAAATTGAATTGCAGAATTATAACATTGTTAGAGAACATGTTCTATATGACAGATTTTCTTTTGATACATGATACAGGGAGGTGGTCAGTGTTTATAAATGTGTTTGAAGGAGGGTTTGTTTTTGGTTTTGTTTTGTTTTTGGCTTGTTATTATCTTTTTCCCTCTTTTTACTTTCAGTTTGTCTATGTTTATGTTGTTATTTATTACCCATTCAGTTTTAGACCAAAACTATAATAATTTTGTAGTCCTCCCTTATGATCACAGAGCTTGAAAAACTTTAATTTTAATTACGCTGTTTCTAATATATTAATTATTTCAGTTTTATACCCCCAAATTTATTTTTATTATTTATTTATTTATTTTGGTTTTGGTATTTGACATTTTACCCATGTGATATATGGTTTGTTGTTGATGGTGCTAATCACCCTCCTCCCCCCCCCCACCCCCGGGTTTCTCAGTGGACTACTAATATAATTTAGATTGGGTAGTTATTTGTTATATAGGACTATCTTTCTAGCTTCCATCTTTTCCATGATCCTTAGTCATTGTAAAAGCAAATATGTTCTTCAAATATCCAGATATACCTTAATGAGAGCTCTTGGTTTGTTCTTTCAGCAATGGTTCCTTAATGATAAGGAAGTTCCTTAGATTTTGTCTGAAAATTGTTTATTTTGTACTCTTTTATTTTTAATCTAGAATTCTAGGTTGACAGCTCTTATCTCTAAATACTTTGAAGATATTGTTTTATGCCATCTAGATTGTTTATTTGCTATTTTTTTAAAAAAAAAAGCCTGCTGCCTTGTTTATAGGTAATTTCTTTTCACTAGTTGCTTTCAAGATCTCTGTCTTTAGTGTGCTGCAATTTCACTAAAATGTGTGTGTATCTAGCATTCATTATGTTTAGGATACATTACTAAATCAGGAATCATGTTTTTCATCAATTCTGGAAATTTCTTAGCTATTATCTTTTCAAATTTTGCCTTCCCACATTATACCTGTTCTGTCCTTATTGAATTCCTATGGGTAGATGTTATTCTATTCTTCATGAATTTTAACCCCAATTTCATATTTATGAACTGTCTCCTTCTAGTTCATTTCCATCATTTCCTCAAGTCTATTTTCTAGTTTATAAGCTTTCTTCATTTATATCCAATCTGCTTTTTAAGATAAAACTAAGATTTTAATTTGAGAGTATCATTTTTTTTTCTAGACATTATCTGGTTATTTTTACAGTCTGCCTTGGTATTTTTGATAGGGTCTTGATAATGTATGCCTTTTTACTTGATTTCAGGTTTTTCTACTAAATATACTTGTTCATTTTCTATATATAATAGTTTTATTTTCTGGCCAGGAACAGTGGCACACACCTGTAATCCCAGTGACTTGGGAGGCTGAGGCAGGAGGATCATGAGTTCAAACCCAGCCTCAGCAACTCACCAAGGCCCCTAGCAACTCAGCAAGATCCTATCTCTAATAAAATATTTTTAAAATGGCTGAGGATGTGGCGGTGGTTAAGTGCCCCTGGGTTCAGTCCCTTGTACCAAAAAAAAAAGTTTCATTTTCTGAAGTTCATAGGAATCCAATATATGATCTATTTTAGTGATTTGAGGTGAATTTTTTACACAGGTTCTAAATTTTGCATTATGAGGTGAGGTGATTTTTTGTTGTTGTTGTTGTTGTTTGTGTGTGTGTGTTTCAGTAGAACTTTATTACTTTATTAGTAAGAATCCAGTACTACCAGAATTTAGGGGAATGGTGTTCAAATAAGCTATTTTACATTACTTGTGGTAGTATCCCAGGAGCATCATCTCTAAAAAAAATTTTTCCAGTGACAAAACTAATATTTTGAGGTTTGTTTACCCTTAATAACAAATAAATGGGACAGTTAGATTTACCATAGTAAATATAGTATTCATATAGTATTCATGCTATACTGTTTTGTTTTTAATTAAGAAGTGTAAGTGTAAGTTTCTGGAATTTCAGAATTTGAGGTATAGAGACAAGCTTTATTATCCCAGGTCAAGACCAGTGCTATACGTTATTATTATTTTAAACCATTTCTTTGACATAAACCAAAAGAGACCTTTTTAACTACAAAATACAAAAAAAAAAAGGAAAGAAACTAATCAAATTAAAGATAAATGTGACTGGAAACAATAGGAAGCACATTCCAGAAATATAAATTGCATCTTTAATGCAGTTTTCAGATCAATCCCTATCACCATCTGAATTTCCTGTGTACAGACTTAGATGTACCAACATACTCCTGCATCCTACCCTATTGAGGATCCTGTAGAGTTCAAGGATAGGAAGAGTTAAGAGTAGAAGAAACGACTGATCATTTACGAAAAAAAAAAAAAAAGTAGAAACCAATTTTTAATTGTTTCAACTAGTGTTTAAATGAAAATAAATCTTGGGCACTTGAGTTTTCAAATATGTAGCAAGCAATTCTTTATTAAGGATTATGCACTACAATTAGAAAATAACGCTATTAATATACAGTGCTACTGTATATTAATGAAAACTGCATTTACATGTTTAAGGCTAAATAATTTTAAAAGCATAGTACTAGTACTACCCAAGAATAGTAGTTATTGCAAAAGAATTTTAGGGCAAAAATAGAGCCTTCTTTTGCAGTATTAGGATATAGAAATGCTCAAGAATCCATCACTTTTTTTCTTTTTCATAGTACTAGGGATTGAACCCAGGGTCTCATACATGCTAGGCAAGCACTCTATCATAGACTACATCCCCAGCACCAAGAATCCATCACTCTTAACCTAACAAAACAATCTGGTAAGTAGGTTTGGTGGTACACACCTATAATCCTAATAGTTTGGAAGGCTGAGGCAGGAGAATCACAAGTTTGAGATTAGCCTCACCTGTCTCAAAAAGAATTGGGAGTATAGCTTAGTGGTAGAGAACTTCTGGGCTCAGACCCAATGCTACCAAAAAAGTTAAAAATAAAATAAAATGATTATTGTAAAATCATGATGGTGATAAAAAATGCTTAAGGATCCAGAGGTAAAGATAGTAGGAATGAAGAAATGACAGAATTTCACTAAAGACATAGAAACTACAGAAAATGAATCATATGGAATTGCTAGAAGTTAAAAACTATCAGAGATGAAAATTTTATTTAAAAAAGACTTAATAATACACTGAAATCAGCAGAGGAAAGAATCCATACACTTGAATGTAGATAAAAGGAAGTTTCCAAATTGAAACATGGGGTGGAATTGCAGAGGTTAAAAAGAAAAGTCAACACAAAGCATGCAAAATGTGTGGAACAAAATCAGACAGCATCTCTACAGAAGAGGAGACAGAATTTTTTTAAAGAGGAGACCAAAAAAAAAGACCTAACAAAAGTGATGAAAAATATCAACCCACATATCTATGAAGCTCAGGATACATAGAAAACCAGACCTGTCTACATCACAAAGTGCTAGAAACCTGCACTTTGGAGCATGACTTAGAAGCAAGCATAAAAATAACATATTCCACATACAGGAATAGCAATACAAATGTCAGCTGACTTTTCTCTAGACACATTAGAAGACTTAACACGATTGAATGGTGTGTTTACAGTGCTGAAATAAAAAATTGTTAATGTGGAATTCTGTATACCGAGAAATATTCATCAGAAATGAAGTAAAGACACGGACAGTAGTGGAGAGAATTTGTCATCTTTTGCAGATCAGTAAGAAAATATTGAAGAAATTGTCTTGATTGAAGAGAAAATGTGCAGATGGAACCCTAGATCTGCAGAAGGGAATTAGGAAAAACAGAAAAAAGGAAAATTCCTGAGTGAATATAAAAGATCTCTTCTTAAATTTTTAAAAATAATTTTAGATATTACTCTATTAGACAATTGATAGAAAATAAAAGCAGTGTAGGGATTGCAACATGTGTAGAAATGAAAAATAAGACCATCACAACACAATTGGAAAGGAAAGATGGGATTATACGGTTATTTCTTACATAGTTTTGTGAAGTGGTGTAAAATTGGGGGAAAATAATAATTTGTAGCTACATATTATTATATCTAGTGAACACACTGAAAATACCACAAAGATGTATAGTTTTGAAATCAATACAGGAGATTAAATGGAAAAAAAATAAATGTTACACACACACACATATATAAAGGGAAGTGTGATTGTCAGCTTTCTGTTGCTGTGACCAAGATATCTGACTAGAGCAACTTAGGAAAAGTTTATGTGGGGCTTATGGTTTCAGAAGTCTCAGTCCATGGTCAAATGACTCCATTGCTTTTGGCCTGGGATGAGGCAGATCATCATAGGGGAAGGGTGTACTTGAGGGAAGCTACTCAACTCCTGGCAACCAGAAAAGAGAGAGTAAGAGCATGGAAGGAAGGGAGGAGATATAATCCCTAATGGCATGCCCCCAGTGACCTACTTCCTTCAGCCACACCCACCTGCCTATAGTTTCAGCCCAGCAGACCACTCAGATAATTAATCCAACAAATGGATAGTTCTCCTAATCTAATCATTTCATCTGAACATTCCTTCATTGCCTAATACATGAACTTCTCATATCTAAACTATAACAGAAAGGAATATGCAGGGTAAGTTTAAAAAACAGTACTAAGATGAGAGATTGAAATCCAGTTCTGTTAATAACAGCATTACAGTAAAAACTATTTAAGATGCAGAAATTGTCAGTTTGGTTCACAAAAGCAAGATCAAACAGTTTCAGGAATTCACTTCAATGTGTTTTAAGTAAAAGGATGGAAAAAACTTCATCATGCAAACACCATATGAAAGTACTTTATTAGTTTGAGACAAAATAGATCTCAGGACAAACAGTGTTATTCTAAATATATTTCATTATAATAATAGCATTTTGTCAAATTTTAGTCCTAAGTATGCACCTACCTAAGAATCCTTTAAAAATATATGAAGCAAAAATTGTGAAAACTAAGAAGAAAAATAAAATTCACAGTCGCACTTGGAGACTGTAACACCCTCTTCTGAAATTGATGAGGTAAACAGACAAAAAGACTTTACCTCACATCATGTACAGAATTTAATTTGAAATTGATTGTAGATCATAGAACTAAAGTTACACGAGAAGGTGTACAAAAAAAATTGTTAATGAACTTGGATTAAAGAAATTTCTTAAATAGGATCAAAAGGACAGAGTCAGTTCAGTGAAAAAGGGAAAATCTTTTTAGCTAATAGTTCTGAAACAACTGGCTATCTAGTAAAAACATGAACCTGAAACAGTCTTACTCCAGACTTAAAACTTAACTCTAGATAGATTGTAGATCTACATGGAAAACCTAGAGCCATAAACTTTCAGGAAAAAAACATAAGAGAATATCATTGCAACTCTGGGTTAGGCAGCAACTCCATAGACAAGTAGCATAAAACACTAATCATTAAAAAAAAAAAAAAAAAAGATACCATTTAGAATCCAAACAGGCAAGCCACACCGTGGTAAAAAATATAATTAGTATATATATCTGATGAAAGACTTTTATCCAGACTATATAAATATCTCCTACACATCAACAATAAAACAATTAGGAACCCAGTTTTAAAATGTGCAAAAGATTTGAACAGATATTTCCCATAAGAAGATACATAAATTATCAATGAGCATGTAATACCTTTTCACATGCTCATTGATATTAGGCATCAGGGAACTTAAAATCCCAATGAATAAAGGGGTTTTGAAGGAATTGGGTAGGAGTGAAACAATTTTTCTGTGGTGGCAGGTATATGACATAAACATTTGTCCAAACTAAAAAATGCTGATGCCTAAATAAAAAAATAGATTGGGCGGTGAGGGGTCTACTGGGGATTGAACCGAGCTACATCTCCAGCCTTTTTTTAATTTTTATTTTGAGACAGGGTCTTACTAAATTGTTGAGGGTCTCACTAAGTTGCTGAGGCTGGCCTCAAACTTAGAATTCTCCTGCCTAGCCTCCTGAGTTGCTGAAATAACAGGGATGTTCCACCACCCAGCTAAAAAAATAAATGTTTTTAAAGCCATTTGAAATACCATAGCCCACCAAATTATATGGCTAAAAAAAAAAAATTAAAAAGCAACCTTTATTGGAGAGAATGTGGAGCCAACTCTCATTCATTACTGGTAGGTATGTAAAGTAATATGCAATTATAAGAAGCTTTGGGGGACTGTCATAACTTGACCATCTTGTAGTTCCTAGAATAACATTTACAAGGCTGTCTATAATTTGACCTGATTCTAAGCTCCTCATAAAAAGCTTTTTATCCCAGGATAATTGTCAATACAAGAACAGGAATAATATGACTTCCTGAAGTATCTAATAATAGTTCTTGTAAACAGTAGGCTTATCAAAAAGCTTAAAAGAAAAAGCTGGAAAATAAATTCTCCACAGGGCCTTTGAAAACCTTCAACATATCCTTGGGATCTAGTTCAGGGCTGTCTCTCATCTCTGGTTGAATCTTGGGCTCTGTGCAAGCAGAAAGTAAAGATCAAGGCATGTTTCAACCGCCTGTCTGAATGTTGAAAGCCTACAAGCATATAGAACCATTTGCAAAGAGTGGGGACTTTTTAATTCCAGGCAATTAATGAAATCTTTCCAATCATTAAGTAACCAGTAAGCTTACCTGGCAGAAAATTCAGTGGCCCCACACAACAAAGAATATGACCTTTGTGGAATTCCGAAAGTCACTAAACAAACAGCTATAACAAACAATAGCAGTAAGCCCCAGATAAAGTTGTGGGTCTCACATCCAGAGTTGCCAGATTTTATATTAATGTCCAGTTATCAACAAAAAATTATGAGAAATCCAAAAAAGTAATTACCCATACACAGGAGAAAAAAGCAAGTGATATAAATTATCCTTAGGGAAATCCACATGTTGAATTTCCTAGGCGAATGCATTAAATCAAGTATTTTAAATATGTCAGTATTTAATATCTCCATCCCTTTTTTATTTTTTTGAGACAGGATCTTGCTAAGTTGCCTAGGGCCTCACTAAATTGTTGTGGCTGTCCTTGAGCTTGTGAACCTCTTGTCTTGGCCACCTAAGTCCCTGGGATTAGAGGTGTTCACCACCATGCCTGGTTAAAAGATGCTAATTATAACCCACAGCAACCACTAAGAAATGACTCAGATATGTGTAATGAAAGAAATTACAGGAGAATTTAAATAGTACACTAGAAAATTTCTGTTGAACACAAAAGAAGTAGTAATGGTAAACAAATAGCAAAATTTTAAAATCAAAAAATAGTAATGGAAAACAAATAGCAAAATTAATTATATGAGTCTAACAATAATTTGATTAAATGTAAATGGATTAACTGCTCCATTTAAAGGCAAAGTCTGATAAGGTAGATTACAAAACAGAATTCAATTTTTATGCTGTTTCTAAGAAAGACTTGTTTGTTTGTTTGTTTGTTTATTAGTTATGTACCTTTATTTATTTTTATGTGGTGCTAAGGATCAAACCCAGTGCCTCACACACGAGATGAGCACCTTACCACTGAGCTACAACTCCAGAAAGACATTTTAAATTCAAAGACACAAAAAAGTTGTAAATAGTTAGAAAATACATACTATACTATAAGAATAACCAAACATTAAAAGTTTTAATCTTTTCTACAATAATTTATGAAAGTTTATCTTCCTTTAAATTTCCTTCCTAATTTGTTCTCCTGGGAATTAAGAGAATTTTCTTTATGCACGAAGTATTTTGTATGTAACCATCTTCAGCTAGAGATATTTTCTGATAACCACATTATATTGCATTTATTTAGGTTGGGGTTGTCAGATCTTTATTTTTATTCACTAGTGGTGTGTTTTAATTTAGTTGCATAATAATGTCCTTATAGATAATATAAAGAAGGCATCAGATTTTTATATAGTTAAAATGTTCCTTATGTAAAAATTTTATGATCCTAAGAATTTCTGGGCTTATCAAATTTTTGAAAAGTGGTATGTGATCTTTAACAGATTTTAAGTTAGATCTTGAAACAGATTTTCATATGAAAATGACATGATGGTTCTTCCTGTTCAGAAATTTTCAGTGAAGGTCTAAGCACTGCAGAATTCTATTCATTGCTGGTTCTTCGTTTTTAAAAATTAAATATTTATGTTTAATACATTCAATTATAATGTTTCTGTGAATGTCTCTTAAGTTGTTCTGAGTGGAAAAACAGTTTTAAGATAGTGTGCCTTGAAGTATTGGCAAGCTTTCAGAATAAAAATTGCTTCTTATTCTGGAGTAGGATTGGTCACCTTAGTAATTGTGTCACCCAAGGAAGTCCCTTTACTCAAAAAAAAAAAAAAAAAAATCTCCTGATTTAGTTAACATTTACTTTGTTGAAATCAGTCTTTGAAATATGAACTATTTTAGTACTCTTTAAAAAGTCATTATTTTTCTATTAAACCAAAAGAATAAAAGGCTTTAGTTTGTGAGAGGAAGAAACAATTGGAACTAAGTTGAGCTTTCTGGGTTGAAAATGTAGTAGAAAGTGAACAGATGTTATAAGCAAAAACAAATTTTCTTTCCGTTGCTGGAGCTACTTACTAGTGAAAAGAAATGTGCAAAATAATGCTTGTTAATTTCTCAGGTAGTCAAATTGAGGTGTATTTGTCAGTCAATAGAGTCAACCTTCTAGACAGTTTCAGGGGTGGAAGATGTTTTTGTTTTACTCAATTGACAGTAAGCAAATACTTTTAGTGTATAAAATTGTTTTGAATGACAGTATTTTTTGTTTTATTGTAAAATATATTTTAATAGTAAAATTATTGTAACTAATCTGTGCCTACCCAAACAGCAAGCCATTGTAATTTCTAATCAAAGTGATTATTTTCTCTCAAATTAAGATTTGGTTTGATTTACAGGTAAACAGTGTTGATCTCAGAGCTGCCAGTCATGAGCAGGCAGCAGCCGCATTGAAAAATGCTGGCCAAGCTGTAACAATTGTTGCACAATATCGACCTGAAGGTAATAAAATTCTTACTATGATTACTGTTCTTTTCAGTTTTTAAAATTCTTCCTCTTGATAATGTTTAATATCCAAATTAAACTTTTTCATATTTTGTTCTGATTTGTTAATCTGTTGTTATTTGTTTAGTACAAATCTAATCTATTTTCAAGATCAAAAGTGTTTTTTTAATAAGATATAGGAACTTTTATCTACGGTCTCTTTGGAGCATATTACCATTATCTGGATTAATTTTTAAGTGTTTCTTTTTAAAAATCTAACCTCTAACCAAATGCATACCTTTTAAAATCTTTTACCAGATTAATAAAAACCATAAGTAAAACAAGTCATATTGCCCCAAAAAGCCACACAAATTTTTTCTTTTAAATCAGATGGTATTTATTAATGTCAGGTTTTAAGTTATGTTTCTAATAATTCTTATTGCTTTTTAAAACGAAAAGAAAAGTGCAAGTTTGAGATATAATGTGTTTCTAGATAGTAAAATCTCATTGACATGACTACTAATTCTTGGGGGAAGAAAGAGGTAATGGAAACTTTGAGGTAACATCATATTAAACATATATAAGACTACAGTGTGCATCAATATAATCATTTTTCCAGTAAATCCTCAGTGGAATTTAAAAAGCTCAAACACCCAAAAGAATACAGAGTGTACTTCTTGATGTTCATAAACAACACGATAAAGGAAAACATGATGTGATGAAGGGGCTAAATGAAATACTGTTTATAATTTAGAAATTAAAGAAACCTTGCACGATTTAGGAATTAAATGAAACATTTTATAATTAGCAAAGTTACATTTATTTTTCTTTTCTTACGATAGAATTTATTTTTGTAATACACCCCCACTTTTTTAAGCTGATGAAAGTAGCATATTGGGCATTGCTTGGCATTCCATAATATGCAGTAGGTTCTCTCAGTCTAGTAAATGTCAACCTTTTAGGTTCAGTAGTTGAAAAGGATAAATTCCAAACAAATTCACTGTGAGCCAAAACAGTAGGAACTAACATAGAAAGTCAGAATGCCAATTCATTGATTTTTGTGAAAAACAAATCTCCCAGTGTGGCTATACATGCTTTTATCTTCTGGCCAACACAGTCCCACCCAATAAGTACATTATGTAAGAGCCTAAATACAATCCCTGGATGTTTGATTTTATAGACAGCCTCTCCGTGTACGTTTAGAAAGATATGACTTTTTACCGGGCACAGTAGCTTGGAAGCCTGAGGCAAGAGGATCGCAAGTTCAATACCAGCCTCAGCAGAAAAGCCCTAAGCAACTCATCAAGACCTTCTCTCTAAATAAAATATAAAAAAGGGCTGTGGATGTGGCTCAGTGGTTAAGTGCCTGCCCCTAGGTTCACTCTCCAGTACTTAACTAAAAAGTTATATCTTTTTTCTTTCTTTCTTTCTTTCTTTTTTTAATGATAAAGTGTTAGTCGTTATCTGCTTCCTGACCTCCCTAGAAAACACATAAAAGCAACAAGGAGGATAAAACATACACAAATACTTTTGTCCACACAGTTATACCTCATGTTAAGCAAAACTGCAAAGACATGTTATTACCTGGACAACAAAATATAGGCAAGGCTGCTTAAACAAAGCTTACTGGCTGCAGAATCCAGGAGGGAAAGAGTAAAAACGAGTTGTCCTGGGCTGGGATTGTAGTGCAATGGTAGAGCACTTGCCTAGCATGTGTAGGGTACTTGGTTTTGATTCTCAGCATTGCATATAAATAAATAAAATAAAGGTCCATTGACAACTAAAAAAATTTTTTTAAAAACATGAATTGTCAGTAATGCGCTATATAGTAAAACTTAGAATATGATACAAAAGTGTACTTCCTAAAGGCAAGGGATTCATTTTTGAGGTGTAACAACATGATTCCTTCTGTTTTATAACAAGCCTCATGAGAATGTGGGAAGTAGACTAAAATAGAAACCATTCATGATATGGTTTTGTTTAGATAACTAGAGGACCCATATTTGGGTAAAGCAGTCTTTGTTAAAGCTTGTGACAATCTTTGTTAAAGCTTGTGAAAATTACCTGTGCTTCTGTTTCCCCTCTACCCCAAGCTTTCTGCAAATAGCTGATCCAGCACAATACAATTTATTCATAATAGATAATTGCAAAGTAACTAGCCTGGCATTCATAAAATATATTAATAAGAAGGTATAGAAAATTACACATATATACTCATATACAGATACAATAAAATATTGACACAGATGAATTTTTTAACCTTAATGTCATTAGCAATTTATGGATTTACTTTGAAAGAAGACTACACAGTAGAAATATAAGAATCCCAGGAAAAAATGACTCAGTAACCAAAAGAAACTCACTTTGAGCTAGCAGTACCCAGGAAAGAAGAAAGCAAAGCAGTTAGTGAAATTGGAACACAAAGACAGAGATACTGCAGAAACTCAGTTGGGGATCTTGAGGATACAATATGAAGAGTAAATAAAATGAAAAGAAAAATGAGGAGACTCTAAAAAGATTAGAAAAAAAATATTGGCAATGGAAGACAATTATATCTATGCAGTGTGTATGTGTATACACACACAAACACACACACACACACGTATGTAAATTAGACTTCCAGAAGAATATTTTTAAAAGGAAGAGAAGATTTGAAATTATAACTCAGTGCAGTCAAGAAAGCTTTTCTTGAAATAAAAAGAAGTGAATCTTTATTGAAAGGGAACAGCATAACCTATGGAAACCCAGAATGGCCAAAATTTTGACATTCTAGTTATATGTTTATCAAGAAAGTATCTTTGACACCCAAGCAAAAATACCAAGTTACTTATAAGGGGATAAAAAATTGGTTAATAGAAAGAATGACTGTTCCAATGCCCGATAAGTTAGTGGCTCTTAATTAGACTTAATGTACCCCTCTATGTACTAAATATACTTGCCTCTGACAGATGGCAAGGACCCTTTTCCCCAGATAGTTATAGGTTCAGGAATTTCCCTCTTGGATTATCCTTACTGTGCTTGTGCTGTTTTTTGTTTGTTTGTTTGTTTGTTTTTGTCCCTTTTTGTGATTTCTATACTTCTTTGAATCTTTCAGGTCAATACTCTTTTTTAATTGTATTTGGTACTATTCTAATCTTGATAAAGAGCAATTTTTATACCAATGATAATTTTCATACTCTTGATATTGCAAATGAGTATCTAGTTGATTATTCTTATATGTGTATGTTCTTTCTAAACATCTCCTAAACACCACCAAACATATCAGTCCTATTTGATTTCTTCAGCATTTCTCCCTGGTGTTTCAAATTTAAAACTAAGCCTGAAACTTAATTCTTCTTCTGTCTCAGTAAATGGCATCTCCATTCACACTTAAGTCAGAAACCTAGGAGTCATCCTTGGCTTCTTTCCGTTTTACAACATCGTGATGACAGCCACTAGCCTAGCCAAAGCCTGAATTGCTCTAATAGTCCTTAACAGGCCTCCACACCCTTTCTTTCTTTTCTCCAATCCATTTTTTGTTCATCAGCCAAATGATGTTTTTTAATACAATGATTGAGTTATATCGTTCCCCATGTAAAACATTTCCCATTGTACTCTGAATAAAATCCAAACCCTTTAGTAGGGATGTAAGGCCTTTTGTGATTGTGCACAGCACAACACATATGGCTTCACTGCATGACCTCCACCCTCTCTTTTCCTCCTTAAGCTCTAACCATACAGTCCTCCTTTGAAATCCTCGTCTAAACCCAGTTATTTCCTAATTCTCTGCTTACTGTGTTCTTTCTCATTCTACTCTTTTTTCGTATTCTTGAGATGACTGGCTCCCTCTCAGAGCACTGTAATATTTTTCTTTTTATGATGTTTAGCAGAGTTTGTAAGTGTCTGTTTATGTTCCTATTTGCTTATTGTTTATTTCAATTTTACCTAAATAAATGTATTCCATTGCCTAATAACCCCAAAGTAAGTATCAGCAGAGCATGGAATGTGAGAACTGCCTTAGAAATTCCAAAGGAGGAAGATCTTATTGCTTAGCATGATAAAAGATGACAGAATAGGATTGGTGCTATTGAGCAATGGACACCTGAACAATGGATAGGATTTAGATGAGCTTCGAGAAAAAATAATATCCTAGGTCAAGAATAACAAAAGAACAAAGGGAGAACAATTAAAATTTAAAAATATGCTTTGGGTATTTTGAAAACTGGCCTGTCTTCCTTGTACCTTACTTCTGCTTATTAGGCATTGACATTATAGGTTCACATTTTGTTTTAATATTAGTTACATATTTTTGACAGATGCATTTTTGTTCTATGGCACTTTTTTTAAAAAACACACTCTATATCATCAAAGTAACTTCTGTGAGGGCCAAGGATATAAAGTGAAGACTCACAGTTTCTTTCTCAGTGAATTGGCCATTTTAAGAAGTAAAAAAGGAGTTACCTGATACTTCAGTAATTGTTGTCTTACAGTTAGTATCTTTATTAAAAATGAATCCCTTAGAATTCACTGCTTCATTAATAATCTGACATACATAAAAATACATACAAACGGAAAAATGAGGTAAACTTTTGTTAGGGTTAATTTTTTATCTTTCTGGATCTGTGGCTTGCCTTTTAATCTTACATAAAGTACTATTACAGGTTTTTATGTCTGAATTCTTTGAACTTTCATGTCTTAGATTCTAAATGGGAGAAAAAAATAATCTCTATAAGACATTTAAAGGGATCTTATATCCCAATTCTTTATAATTTTGTTAACTCCAAAAACTTAAACATGGGAATTGGAAGTACCATAATAGTTTTAATCCATCAGAAATTATAAGTTTTAACACTTCCTAGTCAGTAGTTCAAGAATTTTCTGTGAATTGATGATAGAATATAATAATAAAAATTGTGTGCCATGCATGATACTAACCTTGTTAAATTTATTTGCTCTTTGTTCCCCTGCTAATCCTATGAAGACACTGTTACCCCATTTTACATTGTAGTTGAGTAAACTCAGATACAGAGAGGCTAAGC